GCAATAGCCTATTCGAACCCCCAGAACTAGCTTTGTTAAGGGCAAAGAGCTCACTGGATCTCTTACTATCGATTTTGGGCCTAAAGGATCTTGAAACGATTCATAAAACGATGGTAGTCCAGCGATAGCCAAGCTCCCACGAAACCCAGTAGTAGAACAAATGAGGAGATTAGAACACCGACTCGTTGCCATTCTACTAATAGCGGGGCTAAAGTGCCTTTCCTTGCCAGTTCGTCAGCTTTACCTTTCCGTGCGATTCCGCTGTGACCTGGCAGCCCTACTAGTCTTATCTCAAAGTGACTCGATGCCATTGATAAAGAGGTTAGGCATTCCTTGAACGCACATTTAGTCAGCTCAAGGCTAATAACGCCACGCTGTTATCAGAGTATAGAGTCACTACTTTGAAGAGCACCTAGGAGCAGTAAATCTATCGCTATCTTAATGGCAGCAATCTCAGTTTGAAAACCACTACAATTGTCAGATAGTCTGAAACTGGAGTTTATAGTTTTATAGTGAGCTTCTGACAATATACACCTTCACTACCAATCTTCTCCGCAAACCTTGACCTCTCCGTAAAAAAGCTGACTGCCCCTCTCCTAGAACAGCTTCTACCCACCCACAACTCCGTTGGCAGTGAAAAAGCAGCCAAAAATCAGACAGAATTCTAAATTAAATAGGTAAATTTCGATGTTGCAAAGCGATCTGTATAACCAAAAAATTACAAAATATTCACAATTATTTTTCACTTTTGAACACTGTGCTACGCCAATGATATTTAGAGAATGTTAACGGTGTTCTCGTGTTCCGCAATCCCATTACAACATTGCCTGCTAATACTTGTAGATGTAGGCATGTGTTTTGGTGACCCTTGTAGCACTGCATCTTCTCGTTCTTCTTGGTTTTGTTTTCGTCAGTTATCGTACTTGGGTGTAATTCAACATTTGCAACATGGGCACTTGAGTTGATTTCTGCACCCTTTGGCAGCTTTCTTTTATTTTGTAACACACTCCCGTTATATTTTTGTTTTTCAATCCTACAATTGGCCGAAACAGTTAAAGGCGCTCACTACAATTGCACCACACTCTTACAATTGTAGACACTCATACATACAAAAATTATATGAGCATGCCTAACGTAATGCCACACTTTTCATCTCGCCAACAAGCTGCAGCAGCGCACCTTTTGGGTGTTGCCAAAACACGATCGCTTCTAAAACAGATCTGTATTCGCATAAGATTGTTTTTTTTATTGAGTTTCTTTGTTTTTGTAATTTGATTTTAACTGCAACAATGCATGCTAGAGGGTGCAATCAGATAGCTATCGACATATGTTGCTATTTCCGGCAGCAGCCGATTGATAGCAATCAAACAGGGTATATTTTTTACGCGGTTACCGTTGTTGTAATATATATTACAATAACATATGATTAAAGGGGTTCAAAGGAATGAGATAAGCCTTACGTACAGTAATTAATTGCGGCAGAAATTAAGCTGAAAAAATCTCTTTCTCAGATTCTTTATTCAAAATACTATTGATCTATAACTAGAATATACTTATATGTATATTCGTGAGGTTTTATAAAAACCCTCAAGTGGGTAAACTAAGTTTGCCATGATGTAATTAGCACCCAAAAAGAAATTTCAGACCCTATATAATATATACATATATAAATGAGCAACATGATTAGCTAAGCCTAGGCTACAGCATATACCTGAAAAATTATTGCCTCATGTCCAGTCACGAATTACGGCCGTTTTTCAGTAGTAGCTCGTTTCAATTTTATGAGTTTCTGTTGCTAGCGTCACTCATTAATGGATTACGGCGGTTTTAGAAGCTCATAATACAGCACGCCTTTCTGATTCCACAAAACAAAAAGCATTACCTAACCGTTGTGGATATTCGGCTATACCGTTAATTTAGCTGGTTGGCCGGATTTCACATATGACTTTCATCGCGTAATGCTTCCAGTTCCTCATTTTCAAATTTTTTTTCGCCGCCTAGGACGTTTTTAATCTTTCAAACCTAAACCACCATGTCAAGACTTAAGATCTAGGTATAAGTTTTCCGGCTCCACAAAGGACCACTTTTAACAGTCCACTGTTATTTTCTTTGCGCGGGAGCAACCAAAGCATTCACCCTATCGGTTTGTTCCAAACGAATCCTTTGTTTTTCGCCAGTAAAAGAAGAATTTCCAAAAGTTCAGAGAGTTCGTTAGGAAAAACTTAAGGTATCAACAATAAGCGAACAGCATTGATGTAACTGTTATGTGTTAAAAAACTGGATCGACTCCAGCATTTCGAGGTTGTAAACTCTTCTCTCGGGAAGACTAACTTTCAGGTAACGTCAGCGAAAATAATTTTAATTAATTATTTTGAAATTGGCTACCCGACTGAATCATTTTCTAGTTAAAACAAGTTCAGACCAGCCGTGGTCATAGTAACTTATGTTATATGCCATATGCCCACTTAGTTATATTATAATACTTTGATTCATATAGGAAATACTATCTATAAAATCAAGCGAACTAACAATATCTATACGTATATTTATCAGTTTCAAGTTGGATGAAGGTATGAACTGTGGCCACTTTCGACACCGAAACACAATATAATTAAGGGGGTATTTCGGTTTAGAAGCTCGAACTTTTCAATCTTTTGCGGACCCGATAAAAAAAAATATGTTAACCATACATTTTTTTATATGTTTTTATTGATATTTAAAGAGTACAAATCCATTATAATATCAAAAAAATTCAGGCCGGCAAAGTGGGAATTGATGAAAAAATGGCTTGTCCTGGTTTGCAGGATATCAGGACTCCCAGCTGAAATTGTTGAGTGACCCTTGAAGAGGAAGAATGTAGTTATAGTACTACGAGAGAATTTTGGAAAAACATTTTTTTTCACAAAATGGCGGCTGTTTGAAAAATATGTTTCGTTATTTCACTATTTTTTTGCCATTCGGAATTTTTTAGCTCTGTATAAAATTTCAAGTAAATCGATTGAGTGAACTTGAGATATCATGCACACCGTTTCTACAAAAGTAGGTCAGAGAAAAATGACTTTAAAGCTCATGCCAGCCCACTTTGTCGGCGCATCACAAAATGAGCTAAAACGTTATTTTTAAATTTCTAAATCAGAATATCCCCTTAAAGTAGTGTATGTAAAGTGGAGCTATATGAGAATCAGGTGTATTTACCCGGAATTACCATGAACTATAACCGGTTAAGGGCGTTCTGCACTGATATTTGAGAGTATTGCGACAACAAACAACATCTGTTAGGTGCGCCACGTAAAATGTTACGCAAAAAATGTGTGGGATTTGTGGTGGGATAGATAATCTATTGCCGAGTGCTATTCGTTCCGTTAAGTCGTGGTCAAAAAAAAAAATTGTTTTTCTTTTAATTTCTAGTATGGAATGAAAAAACCTTCACTTTCCTACGTAATCTTTATTGAAAACTTATTTGTAGCAGTCCTTTTCAATATTAAGTAATTAAATAAATAATTGCGATTAATTGCTTCATTTTAAAAATTGATATTACAAAGATATTAATTTAATAAAAAATTCCGTTTATTAAAACGTAATATTTAATTATATTAGTGGCTAATAAAAATTATAATAGTTATTTCACTATTAAGATCTCATATATTATTAAATCAGTATATTAAACTAGTGCAAAAATATAGATCCTATTACACTATTTAATACACAATTGATGCCTACACTAGTCCTGAATGCACCGCGATGTTGTCGCCGGACCAGTGGAAGTTCTCTTAATTTTTAAGCTGTTTTCAAAAGGTTTATTGAGATTAAGAAAATTTTTTCAAGATAGAAAAGCTCTCGGCCCAATGCCTGTCGAGAACCAGCCCATATTAGACCAAAACCTTTCTGGTGTTGATCGGAACTGGGATCGATGCCAAGTCTCTCATAGGGATAGAGTGCACAACTTAATAGTATATACTTATTCAACCACATTCTTAATTCTATATTTTTTAAGAACTGCCATTATACCAAATCGCAAAAAATTTACAGGAAGTTTTAAATACTGGGAAGATATTTATGAATATTTTACCAACCAACACTGAAAGTTACAGTTAAAACATATGTTATGTACTATATTTTAATTGGTTTTTGTTCTAATAATTTATTATTTAAATAAAAAAAAATAATTATTTAATAAAAAACTGTTGGAGGAAGACAGTTTATGGATTTAATTTTACCTGTGTCTAACAGAATATTACAAAAATATATATAATATTTTAGTATATGTATCGAAAACCTTTCCAAATTGTAGCGAACAAAAAGATTTTTTAATTACAATAAAATAATAAAAGGTAAACGAAATAACAAAAGGTAAAAAAATAGGTCAATAAGAAATCTTAACTTAATTGGCTATTTATTGAATTATCAAATTATGATATTTTTGCATTACAGTAACTAACTTTTAATCAACATAAACTCAACGAAAATATCCCTAATACATTTATTTTAGATGCGTATTTACTACTTTACAAGTCGTGAATCGAACAAACAACTGGTATAAATGCAATACACTGGTATAATCAAATTAGATACCCGTTTATACCAATTTAGAAATTGTGTTCTTCTTGTATTCACATTTGTAAAGAAGGAGAGACAGAGCTCAAACATAGTAAATGTGGAGGTGTCGCATCGCACACGACTGTACTTTATATACAAAATCTCATACCAATAGACTTTTTGATATATATATATGTATATGCAATCTATTGAAACATCAAAAAAATAATGAAATCTATTGAAACATCAAAAAAGAAATAAAATATAACCAAAATATAAAATATTTTCTAAGAAAATGTATATAATTTACAACCTTTTGTTATATTACTAAAAGTATTATTTTGGTCTTATCATCAGCAGTAATTTTTTAAAGCAAAGAATTCATATGTCACTGACTTCACTGTACTTGGAAAATTATTTTCACTATAAAAGTCTTACTTTCTCGTTTTTACAGCAAACCTCATTTGGTTTTAAGACAGTCAACATCATTGAATCAAACCTTCGACCGACATCATGGCGCTGCAGCAGAAAAGGAATGGCGTATCGAATCTTTGCACATTCGATGATCTCTGCGCTATTCAGCATCCGTATCAACGTTATCTGGGCCTTAAATTCTTAGAATTTAAGCGTGTTAATGGACGTTTCGTAATACCAAAATCAAATATACTTAACGTTATTCTACTTCTTGCACTGATGGACTGCGCTGGTAATATCATTAAGATTGGCAAGGCGATCAACGACAGAGATGTCACTCAAGCCCAGGAGATCTTCGCCGTTTTCGGTATGGGTTTGGTAATGACGATGCGTGGCTCAATGATAGGACTAAATCGCGGCAACCTGTCGAAAATGTACAACGCTATCGATCGTATATTTCCACGCAGCCAACGCCTGCAGCAACATATGGAAGTCGAGAAAATGCATAAAAATATAAAAAGGCGTTTCTTCTTGCTCCATACGTCTTTGACGGTTACCGTGTCCGCTTTCATCGCTTTGCCGTTAGCGAAATTTATGGTATTTTACGATTTCAAATCAGATAATCGTGTGACCGAAGAATTTCATGTGAATGCGTCGTGGTTACCGTTTGGCATAAAAGATAAGGTTTCTACTTATCCTTATATATACGTGTATGAAATGATGTTAGCTACGGCTGGCGCCCATATGCTAGTCACTTGGGATCATGTATTTGTGATTTTAATTTCACAGTTATGTATGTATTATGAGTATTTGGGTAAACTTTTGGCGGAAATGAATGTGCAGGATGCAATGGATCCCACAAAGGCGGATGCATTCTACAAACAGCTACACGACTACATAAATATACATCAATATCTCAATAAGTATGTGGTTAGAGTGTTATACTTGTATACGTTCATAAATCTTATCGTTTACTTCACATTTAGTTTGGCCGTCGAATTAATGACTTGTTTAATTTTTCCATATTATCTTCGATGCGGGCATCGCTATATCCATATGTTTCAACTGGTTCTAATTAGCGAGGCTACAAACTATTTGCAAATATTAAATTACACTACACCATTATTCGTAGAGATTGGTTAATCTACGATGCCGCCAAGTGGTACCATGCTGGAGACAGTGGTGAGTATATATAATGTTGCTTTCTGCTTTCTCTAGGCGGAAATAACTCGTAAATTATTTTATATGAACTTGTGAAACGACATCCCGAGTAAATGAAATTATCTACGAGTGAAGTGGTACGACTGTTCGGTACGTTGGCAAATATACTCTGATGTTGCTACAAAGCACGAATGAACCGTTCAGATTAACAGTTTTAAATTCTCTATTTTAATATGAAGCATTTTCAGATGTATGTTTAACCTGCGCTGCATAACACTTTATTATTAATATTTCAATTTTTCTATTTAGATGATGATGTTAGCTTATCAATTGCTAGCTTTTTGAAGTCGAAGCAAAAGAGGTAAACAAATGTAGTTGGTTGAATCACGAAATATTTTAAATTTTTAAGATTTACTTTTCTGTAAATGTTTACTAAATGTTGTATTAACGAATGCAGCTATAAATTTTCATTTTTTTTTATAAAATATCTTTTTTTTCAAGTACTGTGTGGGAAAATTAACACTTCCATGCTCATTATTTACTCCTCACGACTCAAAAAACTAAATTTAATAAAGAATATATAGCATGCTTACATGTGTATTAGTTCCAAATTTGGTTTATTAGGCTAAACTTCTTACCTTCCAAAGGAATATGGTTCTACTGATCTTAGAATAAGTGATTTATCACTCTATCTATATTATATGTATGACGAAATCTGAAAACGTAACCGACAAGCGGTTTGCTGCAACACATAATGTGGAGCTCTTTCTATCTACGTCGTTTTCATATAAACAACCTCAAAGTCTCAAGAGTGCGTTAAGCGGTAGACGATTTATCGGAAATCGATACAATATGTTAGAGCATCATGTAGAAGGTATGCTAGGGGCGCCATGTAAAAATCACGCAAAAAACGTGGGATTTATGGTGGGTTAGATATTCTATTGCCTAGTCCTAATCGTTTCGTTTCCTTCTAATTTCTCATAAAAGTATAAAAAAAAACCGTCTCTTGCCTACACCACCTTTATTACAGACTTAGATGCAGCTGTCAGTTAGACAATTAAGTAATTAAACCAATAATTGCTATTAATCGCTTCATTTCAAAGTTGGCATTACAAAAATAGTTTTATATTAAAAATTCCATTTCTTAAAATATTTAATTCTATTAGTAAACAATAAGACTATACTAGTGCTTGACTACTAAGCTCTCATATAATATTTAACCGTTTTATAACTACAAGTAGTGTGGAAATATAGACTCGATTACATGTTTTGGTAGCCACTTGATCCTTGCAATAGTCTTGAGCGTTTTACCAGGCCTGTCATATATTTGTGGTGGGCATCTTCTGTGGTGGCTAGTGAAGGTCTCTTACGTTTTAGTTGTTTTGAAAATTTATTAAGGTTAGAGAACTTCTTCAATACAGAAAAATACTCAACCGCATGCCTGTAGGGAATCAACCCATATTAGACACAACCTTCAGCTGTTCGTCGAGTTTAGAATCGATTTCAAATCCTCACAAGAAGAAGGTGAACTTCTAAAATATTGAAACACATCTTCAATTCCAATTTTTGCAAAAAACTGTCATTATACTAAAATCTAAATTAATTTACAGACCTATATACAATATATTGAACCAACCAACACTGACAGCTACAGTTAGAAAATCGTTTTCTTCTATATTTAATCGTTTCAGTGTTTAGGGCTACATTTCAATTTTAAATTATTGAGTTAAAAAATTGTTAATAAAAAGTCTTTTGAATCTTATGGTTACCTGTTTTAACAAATATTACCATAATAATAATATTTAAGTATCAAACAAAACGATTCCAAATTGTATAACACAAAAAATTTTAAAATTTTAATAATAAAAAAAAAAGTAAAGAAAGGCTAAGTTCGAATGTAATGAACATTTTATACTCTCGCAAAGTTAAATGGTATACTCGTTTGAGATTTATTTGTATATTTTAATAATTAGAAGTAGAAACTTCTGCCTCAGTTATTTACATTCACAGTGAAATTAATTAGAGCAATTTGTAAACAAATTTACTCAAATTATGCGAGAATCGTTCTTGGTTTTTGTATACGCCTATAATTGATTTTATATAGAATGCATTACAACTGTTTTGAGGATATTATACGATATTATTATACATGTTTAGCTTAAAAATATAAATATTAACAAACTTTAAAAATTATATTATATATTAATTTGTATATAATATTTACAATGTTAAACATAAATATTTATAGAGATTCTTATAGATATATCCAATTATATTCTTTTCTACTACTTGTATACTACACTACTAATATTTATTTCATGCGATTTTTCTAGAAAGATAATTTGCTCTATAAAAAGTCCGGCATTCTAAGAAACTTTTTTACTTGTTGTCTGTATATTTGTTATAAGTTCAACCGAATGGCTGAGAAATATACCTATCGACGATTATCACCAAATATTAGAAAAAATATATCTGTATAGAAATCTATATCTAACTCGATTAGTTTAGGTGATACAACAACCGTTAAGTGAACAAAACAATTATACTCTGTAGCAACAAGTTGCAGTGTATAAAATAGCTGCGATAAATTGAATAAAATCGTAAGTAAGTGTGTATTGATTGAATTATCAATAAGCAATAAAATTGCCTGATAGTTTTGCGTTACAGTAAGTACTTTCACTCGAACTAACTCAACGAAAATATCCTTGATACGTTTATTTAGAATGCGTTAATTACTTCACAAGTCGTGAAGCGAACAAGCATACAGTGCAATATACTGGTATAATCAAATATAGATGGATATTAACCAGTATACCACTTTATGTTAGGTACAAATTATGTTCCTTGCCTTCATATTTGAAGACAGAACGAGCTCTAACATAGTGAGTAGGGCAGTGGTTGACTTTAATACAAACTCTATACCAAAGACTTTTTGATATGTATATATAAATCTGACCTGCTAAAACATCAAAATTCTTAGTTTTAGTAATAAAATATAACAAAATATAAAATAGTTTCTAAGAAAAATTATTATAATTTTAACCTTTGTTATATTACTAAAGGTATTGTTTTGGTCTTATCCTAGGAGTAATTTTTAAAGCAAAGAATTCATATGTCACTGACTTCACCGTACTTGGAAAATTATTTTCACTATAAAGTCTTACTTTCTCGTTTTACAGCAAACCTCATTTAGTTCTAAGGCAGTCAACATCATTGAATCAAACCTTCGACCGAGATCATGGCGCAGCAGCAGGAATGGAATGGCGTATGGAAACTTTGCACAATCGATGATCTCTGCGCAACTCATCCGTATCAACGTTATCTGGGTCTTAAATTCTTAGAATTTAAGCGTGTTAATGGACGTTTCGTAATACCAAAATCAAATATACTTAACGTTGTTCTAACTCTTGCAGTGGTGGACTGCGCTGGTAATATCATTAAGATTGTCAAGGCCATCAACGAGAGATGTCACTCAAGCCCAGGAGGTCTTCGCCGTTTGCGGTATGTGTTTGGTAATGATGATGCGTGCTTCTTGTTGGCACTAAGTCGTGGTAAACTGTTGAAAATGTTCAACGCTATCGGATAGATCGTCTCTCTTTAGCTTATCAATTGCTAACTTTTTTGAAGTCTAAAGGGTAAAAAAAAGTAGTTGGTTGGAATCACGAAATATTTTTAAATTTTTAAGATTTACTTTTCTCAAAATGTTTACTGAAATGTTGTATTAACGAATGCAGCTATAAATTTTCCTTTTTTTAAATAAAATATCTTTTATTTTTACAAGTACTGTGTGGGAAAATCAACACTTATCCATATTCATTATTTACTCCTCACGAACTCATAAAAACGAAATTTAATAAATATATAGCATGCTTACATGTGTATAAGTTCCAAATTTGGTTTATTAGGTTAAACTTCTTACCTTCCAAAGGAATATGGTTCTACTGATCTTAGAATAAGTGATTTATCACTCTTATCTATATTATATGTATGACGAAATCTGAAAACGTAACCGACAAGCGGTTTGTAGCCAACAGATAATGTGGAAGCTCTTTCTATCTACGTTGTTTGATGTAAACAACCTCAAAGTTGACTTGAGGTTGCTTAGAAAGAGAGCAAATCTTCGTTATTATAATAAAACATGCAATATTGCTCCGATCTAAACAAAATGTTCGGAGATTGTACCGCTGGTTTGGACAATAATCTATGTCTAATTTCGAGATGATAATTAGTACAATAAAAAAGTTCTCCACACAAGGACTTGATTTTGATCGGTCTGTTTGTATGACAGTATTGGATATGATCTGAATGTGCCAAGCGCAAAACGACCAAAATTTTGGGTCAAGGTAAAGTTTTATGTTTTTAAACACCGCTATTTTGTAAATTTTTTGTAACGTTCAACTGTAGGTCATTGTACGTATAATATCTATTAGAGAGATATTTGTTTTCAGGCAAAGGCCGGTATCACTGCAGCAGTAGAGGATCTTTGGTTAAGCGCCGTCGTAGTGTATATTCCTAAAATATGCAAAAATATACCTATACATATTGTAAATAATTGCAGGAGTAGTTTTTTTAATTCCCACTGTCACACTAGGTGCAGCTCTTAGCATTTCAGGCTTTGGATCTAACAATTGCAGACTACCAGGTGACCTAGCGGCAAGGAGAATGAAATACTTAAGCAAATTTGTGATGGTTCATGGCACTTTATCGAGACCAAAGATTCAACCATAAGTTTTCTTACTTCATAAAGAACTATTCTTATCTTTCTTAAAGATCAGCTACAATACCCTAACATACTCAATTTGTTTTAGGCGGATTCTTCACTACTCGTTAAAAATAGATAACATTCCACAAGTTTAGTTTCAGCACTCTAAGCATCAACAGTAAGCGGACGATCCATCAGCTCCAGATTTATCTGGAGTGGCTGCAATAAAGATAGGAATAGATCTACGGTACCGGAGTGCAGCTTCCTTCAGAGTGGTGACTATCCACTCCGATATTAGCCCTTGAACTCCCTGACTGAGCACTCTAGACTAGTGAAGAGATGTCTAGAGTCCTTATCTATAGCATCGAGTTACTACATGATTAAACTAGTTGTCTGGGTGTCTGACTACAGCGGTATTGCTGGAAACTGCAAGACTGATGAGCTGATTAAGTACAGGTACATCAGACTCAATCAGTTCGGAATGGGAATACTTAGGAGCTTTGTTGGCTTCTACTGGTTCACTACTGCATTGTTGGGCCTCAGTCCAGCTCAACAAGCGTTCGTCGACTATTAGCAACTGTGCAGTCGCAAAGTCTTTCTGGCCCAGGCTAAATCGTAAGAGATCTAGTGAACTCGTCGCTCTCTGCAAAGTCCACCTTTTAATGGTTGTAGGAATTCTAATTGAATACTGACCGATCAATTCATGCGGTAAGATTTGCCAAATCAAGGCTAAAGGACCTCGGATTTTATAATTTTAGATATTCAGATGAAATAGTGAAAACAAAAATAAACCAGCTAAGCATAATTGTGATAGGTTCATTATATTAAAAAGTAAATCGACCGCAGCATTTCGAGATTGTCAACCCTTTTCTCAAAGAGGAAAATTATAATAAAACAGTCATTCAAATCGCCGAGAAGACTCACTCTACGTCAGCGGAAATCAGGATTAGGTTTATACTCAAAAATTAAGCAGACTAACGGTGAAACACAGTATAATTAAACGTATGATAGATGATAATCGGATCTGATAAGCGGATCTATTTACCCGGTATTGACCATTAACTATAAGCGCTTAAGAGCTTTCAACAATGACATTTGAGAAAATTCCGAAAAAAAGGATAATTTGTCGAAAACGGATGCCAGAACAAACTATAAACAACTATATATTGCCAGTATCATCCAGACAGTGAAATTTGTGGTTCGTTGGTGAAATGTTCGAGTGGCGATGTTCTGGCAACGATCTACTATATAAAAGCATTGCTGGCACAGTTGTACAATAGTTACATCGCTGCCGTTTAAAAAATCTCTGAAAGATAAGTAAGAAGTTGTAAGCTCGGATAATGATTAATAAAGCCTTAAGGTTTTAGAAATAGAAATAAAGATAAATGTATAGCCCAAAATTTGGCACTTTATTTAACAATCCAGTGGTTGAACTCAAGAGTGAGTTACAAGGTAGACGATTTATCGAGAAATCAGATACAATATGTTAAAGCATCGTGTAGAAGGTATCCTAAGGGCGCCATGTAAAACGTCAAGCCAAAATACGTGTGGAATTTATGGTGGAATAGATACTGTGTTGCAGAGTATATTATTTCCGTTAAGTCTTTTAATTTCTCATAAAAGTATGAAATAAAAAGCCGTATTTTTCCTACGTATCCTTTTTTGGAGACTTAGATGCAGCAGTCTGCTAGACAAGTAAGTAATTAAACAAATAATTACCCTTAATTGCTCCATTTTAAAAATTGATATTACAAATAATATTAATAAATTAAAAATTCTGTGTCATAAAATGCAATATTAAATTCTATTGATTACCAATTAGACTATACTAGTACTTTTACTACTAAAATCTCATATAACTTTAAACCAAGTATCCTATCTACTAGTAAGGACATATATACTCGATTTCATGTTTTGGTAGACACTTGTTTTTTGAATTAGACTTGAACGCCTGTCATCTCTTTTGTGATAGGCATCTAGATGTCGTCAGACAAGTGGAAGGTTTCTTATCTTTATGTTGTTTTTTAAAGATTGATTGAAATTAAGAGCAGCTTTTTCAAGGCAGAAAAGCACACGTTCGTATTTCTGTCGAGAACCGACAACTAATAGACAAAACCTTTCTGGTGTTCGTCGGAACATGGGATCGATCCTCCATGTCTCATAAAGAGAGAGTGAATTTTGTCATTGTTAAAACAGCTTTGTGAACAGGTGCATTGTCTTGATGAAAAATAATTTTTTTATGCTGCAAACCAAATCTTTTTTCACGAATTGATCCAAAAGCGTGCAATAATTTTCAGAGTTGATTGTTTTACCTTTCTGCAGATAATCAATCAACAAAGATCCTTTTGCAACCCAAAAAACTGATGAAATAAACTTCTTTGCTGATCGTTGTGACTTCACCTGCTTTGGAGCTGAACGACCAGCCTTAGATCCAAGTCGCATCTATAGTTATAAAACGATGCAAGAAATCGGTTTTATTCTGCTTAGAACTCTCCAAATTATGCTGAGAAATTTGTTTTCGATCCAGTTTTTGTTAAACTGTTACAAACAGCTTTTTCATATGTAATTCTCCATGTAAAATATAATATGAGTACTCGTTCTTCTGAGATGCCTATGGCATTAGCAATTTCACGCTTAGTCAAACTTGGATCTTCACTAACAATATTATGAACTTGCTCAATGATTTTTGATGTGGTTGCGGTGTTAAGTCGTCCTTCGCATGGATCATCTTCAAGCCTAGTACGATCACGTTTAAATTCATCAGCCCAAAATTGAACGGCCTTGCATGTGTTCTCACGATAGATGTACCAATTAGAGAAAAAAAAATTTGGAGTTCGTAGTGATATTTCTTGGTGAGCACTACTCACTTTTCAACCAACCTGCATATCACTTATTAAGTCACATCTACAATTTACAACTCAAAGTTAAAATTATTTACTTTACAAAATGTAGGAAAAAAGAGTTATGAATCGAATGGTTACTGTCTTTAACAGAATATTACAACATCATAATATATGTATACAATATTTTAGTAACTAACAAAAGCTTGCATGGCACAAAAAGAATTTTTACAAACAATTAAATATTAATAATAATAAAAAATTATTACACAATTAAATAATGCGAAATAATTAAATAAGAAATCGTAAGTAAATTGGATATTGATTGAATTACCAATAAGTAATAAAATTGTCTAATAATTTTCGCATTACAGTAAATTCTTTTTGATCAAACAAAACTCAACAAAAATATCCCTGATACATTTATTTTCGATGCGTGTTTATTGTTTCAAGAGTTACGAATCGAACAAACAACTACTCATGGTATAAATTGAATATACTTTTATAACTAAATAGAGATAACACATTAACCGACTATACTATTGTAGATATAGAAATTCTGTTCTTATTATGTCATATCCCTCGGAAATGATTTCACTATAGCATCTCATAATACTAAAAGACATTTTAATCTGTATAAATAAATGTGATCTATTGAAACATCGAAATTCTTAATTTTGTAAATGAAAATTTCACTGACCATATTTATGACAATTCCTTTTGTCTATCGTTCTGAAATTTACAACATGTTCTTTTCTTTCCAAGAAGCTGCTCGTTTACCGGTATAGCCGATATCGGACCACTATAGCCTACTGTTGCCATATTGCTGCTTGTGTGGAAAACTTTTTCAATTGTCAAGTTATGTTCAAGAAAATTGGAATAGATTATGGTCTAAGGCAATTGTACAATCTCCGAAGAAATTACTCAGACCGTATTTTTACTGTAGGTATGTAGCTACCAAAAAAAAATATCGATTAAAATTGAGTTCTTATAAGGAATATTTTGTATAATTGAAGTGTATTTAAGCAACCGAATTTAATGGTTTTCTTGGTTTTTTTTTTTTGTTTTTGGGTTGGAAAAATACTAGGTTTAAAATTGGTTTTGAAATACATTTTAAAACTATTTTCTGCTTAGAACTACTGAAATATTTTGTAAGAAACTTTATAGAATTTGCCTCCATTTTCTGATAATTTGTTTATTTCTAAAAATATTGTTTTGGTCTAATCATCAGTAGTAATTTTTTAAAGCATAGAGTTCACATGTTAGTTACTTTACTGTATTATTTTCACTATAAAAGTCTTTCTTTTTCGTTTTTACAGGAAAACTCATTTGATCATAAGATGGTCAACAGCATTGATTCATTACCGCGACGACACCATGGCGGTGCAAAAGAAAAGGACTTTCGCAGCCAAACTTTGCGCAATCGATGATCTCTGCGCTATTCAGCATCCGTATCAACGTTATCTGGGCCTTAAATTTTTAGATTTTAAGCGTGTTAATGGACGTTTCGCCATACCAAAATCAATGTTACTAAACGTTGCTGTATTTCTTGCAATAATAGACTGCATTTGTAATGTCATTAATATTGCCAAGGCCATCAACGAAAGGGATGTCACTAAGGCACAGGAAGCCTTCGCAATTTTCGGTATGGGCTTGGTATTGACGATGCGTGGCTTTATGTTGGCACAAAATCGCGATAAAGTTTTAAAAATGTACAACGCTATAGATCGTATATTTCCACGTAGCGAACATTTGCAGCAACATATGGAAGTCGAGAAAATGCATAAAAATATAAAAAAGCGTTTATTAATTCTCCATCGATCTATAACGGCTTTGGGAGTCATTTTTTTTAGTGTGCCGTCAGTTAGATTTGTGCTAATTTACGATTTTGAATCAGATGATCTTGTGGCCGAAGAATTTCATGTGAATGCGTCGTGGTTACCATTTGGCATTAAAGATAAGGTTTCTACCTATCCTTATATATACATGTATGAAATTATATTAGCTTTGGCTGCGATCCAAATGCTAATCAAATGGGATCAAATATTTGTGATTTTAATTTCACATTTATGTATGTATTATGAGTATTTAGGTAAACTTTTGGCGGAAATGAATGTGCAGGATGCAATGGATCCCACAAAGGCGGATGCAGTCTATAAGCAACTGCACGATTACATATATATTCAACAACATCTCAATAAGTATGTGGTTAGAGTGTTTAATAACTTAATAAATCTTATCGTTTTATTCACATTTAGTTTGGCCGTCGAATTGAATGACTTGTTTAATTTGTCAATATTATCCTCGGATGCGGGCATCGCTTTATCCATATGTTTCAACTTGGTTCTAATTACGGAGGCTACAAACTATTTGCAAATGACATTGCACACTACACCATTATTCGTAGAAATTTGGTTAATCTACGATGCCGCCAAGTGGGGTACCATGCTGGAGACAGTGGTGAGTATAAATATGTTGATTTTTACTCTACTCTAGATGAAAATAACTCGTAAACTATTTTATATGAAATTGTGAAACAGACTGCCCGAATAAATGAAATTATCTACGAGCAGAAGTGGTACGACTGTTCGGTACGTTTTGGCAAATATACTCTGATGTTGCTACAAAGCACGAATGAACCGCTCAGATTAACTGCTTTTAATATGTTGTATGTTAATATGAAGCATTTTCAAGATGTATGTTTAACCTGCGCTGCATAACACTTTATTATTAATATTTCAATTTTTCTATTTAGATGATGATGTTAGCTTATCAATTGCTAACTTTTTTGAAGTCTAAAGGGTAAAAAAAGTAGCTGGTTGGAATCACGAAATATTTTTAAATTTTTAAGATTTACTTTTCTCAAAATGTTTACTAAAATGTTGTATTAACGAATGCAGCTATAAATTTTAATTTTTTAAATAAAATATCTTGTTTTCTTACAAATAATGTGTAAAAACACAGTTAAAATCTCTCTCGTGGAATAAAATATCTTGTTTTCTTACAAATAATGTGTAAAAAAATTAAAACATAGCTATGAATTTAATCCATGATGGAGTTATTTCAATAATAAACATAGTAGCATAAAGTGTTTCGGAACCAAAAATAAGTAACATTGGTCCGTAGCTTCCACATTTCTTCAAAAAAATATTTCCGTTGGTGTCAATATTATAATATAGTATTAAACCTACCGTTGTTCGAATATTTTAAGATAAGTGGAAGGTCTCTTACATTTGATGGTGCCTTCGAAAGGTTCATGCCTTTTAAGAGAAGTGTTTTCATGGCAGAATGTACACAAGTACATGTACATTATAGGTATATATATTGGGGTGGAGCGAAAAAAAATTTGTTGTTTTTTGCTTAGCCTGAGGGTAAAATCTGTAGATTATAAAAAAAAAAAAATTTTGGACAAAAACAAAATTTTTTTTTAACATCTCAGTTTTAAAATAAATTTTGAGTTAAAATCTTTTTCTGACAAAAAATAATAATTTTTGGTTTAAACTCTTCACGTTTATATAAAATATACCTAATTTGACTCAGAATTGATTTTAACGCTTAAGAAAAACATGTGGCCATTTAAGACTTTTTTTTTAAAACTCCAATAATGACCACACATTTTTTTTTTAAGTTGATAACTTTTAATTGAAAAATTATAGATAAACTTTTAATTGAAGAATTATAGAATAGAACACTTATCAAAATTTTTTTTTCGCTGCACCCTAGTATATATATATATTAAATCAGGGTAGATAATTTTAGAATGGAACAAAATCATAGTAGGATGAAACCTTTTGAAAACGAAATATAAAAAAACACAAATTAAAAAAAAAATAAAAAACCGGCGATCTGAAGTCGGTAGGAGGAACGGAAGAGGTATGATTGAATTTTTAAGTATTAAAAACAGTTTATCTCGATTTTCGGAGAAATTGCGAGTCCTATAGAAAAAAGTTATATGCCAAAGTTGTAGGCAATGTAAAGAGCTTGCATATCCAGCTTTTTCACATTACGTCAAGATTTAGTTCAAATATCAAACTGTTTGGGATTTAATATTTATCTTGTACTTGTTTTTATTTAAAATATTATTTTCGACTTAAAATCGAAACACCCATTATTTTAATCAAAAATTCTCTCGTCAAAATATTAAACTTTTTAAAAAGTAAGTAGGTTCCATGTATGTTGAAGTCTCTACTTTCTAATGGTATAAAAAATATATAGATTACTATATTAAATTTACGCAGAAAATGCAAAAACTTACTCTACTCTCAATATAATGTCGAAAACACGCATGTCTTTTACTCACACGGTATCGAGAAGACTGCAGGATGGTGATTGTACTAGTCACATGTCACAACTTACTGGCATCACTTGCGAATCGTGAGGGCATTATTAATGATGACAGATGTAGAGAGTGCAGGGAAGTAGGCATGAGAGAGACGGTAGAACACTTCCACTACTTCTGTGCGGCTTTATCTAGAACTCGTCTTAGATATCTGGTTTTTGCCTTGGATCCAATCTTGTTTAAGGATCCAATGCTCTTCGTTGAAGGGAGTATTGCTTAACTGCTTTAGCGCGCCTTCTAAGGCATACTGCTTGTATACTTTTGTCCCAGTTTTTACCCATTTTTCACAGAAGGGAAGAGGTGTAACGCTTTTACCGGACACTCTCCACCAAATCAATACAGCAGATAGAAGATACTTTCATGGCCGTTGACTGCGTACCACTGCATAAACCGCTTTCATCTGTTGTCTTTCTTTCATCAAATGTAGACATTTGACAAAAGCGATCGATAGTGCAATAAAAAGATATTCTCAAAGTACTAAGTTTTCTGAGAAGCTCATAAATTTCCGGCAAATCAAATACACGGAACTCAAAAAATATTCTTTATAATTGAGTTTTGGACCAGTCAATAAATGTTTCTGGAGATCTCTTTAATCTCTTTAAACACAAGTCTCAATATATCTTACAATAAATGCTTAGTCTTTAGAGAATATATTCACCTACAAGCCATACTTGTTTGCAGAGCGTCAGTTGGCCAGTTGAGCAGTTGACCAACCAGTCAGTCAGTTTGGTCCAACGAAATTGAAAACAAGTCACGTATTTGATTAAACATGGCCGCAATCATGTTAGACGGCGAATTGAATTTCCGTTCAACATCATCATCAAAAGCATAAACAACAACAACATAGCTGTCGACAACAAACGACAGGAGCCATAACTCCAACAACAGCAACAAACAGTTTAGTATCATCATCAACATGAAGACGTCAAAAATGAAATGCGAAATCTATCTATTTTCAGCGGTAGTTGCCAGAGTGCAGCAAGGCATGTATATTTGTATATGTATATGTTTGCTATATGTGTATAAGGTACAGAAGAAGTTATAGTGTTCAGCATCCGCCTTGACTTACACTTGTCCGTCATATGAATGATTTAATTGGGGTTATTATATTTATATGCCCACTTATATACATGCACACACGCACACTCAGACATAAATGTATTAATATAATATAATATAACTCTATATCAATAGAGATATGGTGGGGTAGTGCGTGTAGCTTAAATTTCTTATTGTTTTTTTGAGACGATATTCCGAAATTGTTATTACCCATATTTGTTTTAAATAAATTTGGTGTCGATTTTATTTTATGGACTTTAGTGACTGCTCTAAATACATTTTTATGTGACGGAAGTTAATTAAAGCAAGAAAAAACGTTTACTTCGGTTACCACGAAGCTACAATATCCTTCACAAATGTAAAAGTTTGCATACAAGAACTTGATTTGAAGTGGTCAGTTGGTATGACACCTATTAGCTATAGTGGTCCGATCTAAACAATTCCATCAGAGATTTTACCTTTGACATGGATAAGAAATCATGTCAAATTTCATGAAGATATCTCATGGCATAAAAAAGTTTTCATACAAGAACTTGATTTTGAACGGTCAGTTTGTATGGCAGCTATAGTGGTCTGATGTCGTTGGTTGCGACAAATATGCAGCTTTTTGGGGAGAAGAGGATATGTGCAAAATTTCAAATCGATATGCTGGTAACCCTATCAATAGTAGAAGGCCCTTGTATTTAGTTTAATGGTGGTCAACCAGCGGAAAAGCTCACCAGTAAGATCGAGAGCCAAACGTATTGGCATAAAATTATTATTATCATTAATATAATTAAGTCAACTAACGAACTTTAAATAATTAAGTTAATAAATAAAATGCATAGGAGTAAATAATGCTAGGCTCAGGTGACGCTCTAAGTCTTGGATCAGGTTAACCAAAACCTTTTCAATTCGTTTTAATACTTTTTTGTTTAGCTACAAAGCTTATAGCAATACGAAAGACACTCCTACTCACACCTAAGACTTTCGCTTGGCCTTATAAACACTAGGGAAAGGGGTAAAACATTATAGAAAGCAGCGCAAAATAGTGCAAAGAACTAGTATAACATGTAAATGCCTTGTGTGCATTTATTCTAAGTCCCTCATTATAAGTTTTTTTTTATGTATTTTTATAATTGCAGATACAGTTTTTAGCATATTAATGGAGACAGTGTTATAGAAAATTACGAGTATTATAATTTTGAGATAAATTTGTGAATAGTAGAGATTTCTATATAATATATTCACGAAATAATGATAAAAAAAAATATTATTAAAGGTGGCAACACTGTTCCGATATGTTCGTAATTTAGTAGAATTTAAAGTTTTTACTTTTGTATTTTTAAAAGTACTAAATTATTATTAAATTTTAAAAACTATTTTCTATAATAAGGTGGCAACACCATTTTATTTTAGGAACAAATTTACTTTAAACCTTCTAAATCCACAATTTTGCAATTTTAGAACAAACAATAAAATTTCAAACACGTTTTATTTGAAAAGGTGGCAACTTCATAAAAAAAAATTTTGGAACCAAGTTTGCTCTGGAACCCCACAGTTTTGCAAATTTTTATATAACAAAAGCAATTTAAAATTTATTACTTAAAGTTAAGTGGCAACTCCATACAATAATAATTTTAATAAAATTTTATTAAATATTTACATTAAAAATGCAAAATATTTCTAATAATAACTTAAAAGAGTTGTCGAAAATCTTTATTCTCTGCCTGTTCATACTAATATGCACAACACTTTCTCTACAAACATATGCTAAAGAATACTATAGTAATAAGCATGTGCATAAATAAAAAATGCATGGCACAGCGCAAGTGTGCATGTTTCCATAAAAGCACACACTCCATCCAACCAGCGTTGAAGCCGAAACTCTCGTGGTGCAGCACCGCGTTGCGGCGCTTGGCATTAAAAAAAAAACCGACGAAAGAAATAGCATGCAGAGTATAAAAAATTTAAATGCGAAAATATATATGGTATGAAGCAGCAAGTAGTAAAAAACAATAGCATTGCATATGAGTGGTGCTGGTTAGGTATGCACATACGAGTATATATGTATGTACATGTGTATAAATATGCATATAAATATGTAAGTATGTGCGCATATATTGTGGCTAGCCGCCATATTTAATAATACGCCATCGTTCAAGCACATTCTTACTTCTCTTTTTTAAAATATTCATGCTTTTTTTCATATTCATTCTGCCGTTTTTCTTTATTTTATTTTTTATTTTTATTTTTTTTTTGCGTTAGGCACCGGCTCTCTACAGATCAACGCCGACTTATTGCCCTCTTGTTAAAAACGTAACAAAATATATTGGTGTTTCTATTGTACGAAGTACAGTGGGTCTTTGCCGATAAAATAAAAGGCCAGTTAGAAAAAATACAAAGAACTTCTTGCAGAAGACGGCTTCTATGTGGTAATTATTTAATTTTTATATTTTTTATTTTTTAACTGAGGTCAAGCTTCCCCTATTTGTGGATTAATTGGATAAATCGTTTTTAGAGTCCTCCGAATTATTTATGAGTAGCTTTTTAAAAATG